GACTCTGATCCAGAGAAGAGAGCAAGGTTACTGCGGGATAAATCTATTGGCCATATTCGAGCAGAAACAGAGGCCACAGGTAGGTGCGACGGATGAGAAAAGAACAGACCAACCTCGTAAGTAGGGCAAACGCAATCAGCAGGCTGGCACAGAATCAACAGTAAGTGAAAAGTGAAAGCCAATGCACGGAGCAGCCACGTGCGTCCAGTCAGCCACAGTCAGTCAAAAAGCACGCTCATTATTGCCGCAGCCCCGGCGTCGGCTCGGGTCATAAACAGCTGCCAACAATCGGGTCCTAAACAGCTGCCGAACAAATCGCGAGCCATCAACAATATGTATATGTGCTTATTTGCTCATTGTTTCGTTTTACTTTTTTGTCAAGTGATGGCTGACAAAATTTTGGCAGGGCTCAGGGAGCATTGGTAGGGCCCAAATAAACATTGGTAGGGCTCGGGCCAATGCGACTCAAATTTTTGGTGAGTCGATTCAGAAGAGAGTTTCCTAAAACTGAATCGACTCGACTCATGATTCCAAAAACTTAAATGGAAATGATTCGATTCAACTCTTGACTCAAACATGACCAGAAATATATGAATCAATTCGACTCATGATTTAAGCATATTTTCAGTTTAACGATTCGATTCAATTCATGACTCAAGGGTTCTGTGAACTAAGTTGAATCGACGCATGACTCAATTCTGACTCAACTCATTGGACGGACTCATCAAATTATTCAAAATAAAATGTTTGTGCAAACCCAACAAAAATACAGGTAGCCGTAAAGCAGGCGTCACATTTATTTCTGCAACCATGGAGAGGCGCTGTACCCAGAGATACAGATACAGATACAGATACAGATACAGATACAGATACAGATACAGATACAGATAGTTTATTCGGAACCTCCATGCAATGGGTGATATAGCTTCTACGTCATATACATTATACATAATAACAAAGTGCATGCATCTAAAATACAGTAAAAACCTGCTAACACGTGGTGAATAAGACTAAAATATTTTTCTAAAAACAAAAACCACACATACACACACAATAATAGTGCTACTATCTATGATTGGACATAAAAATAAGATATGTTTACTTACAGTCTCTCATTCGGGGGCAGTTCATTCCAGCTCGCGTCGCTCGATACACGAAGCTTCGTCGGGCAAGCTCAGTGCGCACTCTGGGCAGCTGCAGCTGGCCGTCAGCCGTTGCGCGGGTGTGGCGGGAGGACACATCGGAGCGCAGGACGACTCGCTCGCGTAACACCTCGGACGCACAGGGGGCGGCGATCAAATGAAGCAGTGTGGCGATGTCACGCTCTGTAAGCATCTCATCCACCTTGCACCACCCCAGTTCCCGCAGCGCAGGCGTGACATGATCTCGGCGGCCCAGACCAGCGACAATGCGAACACCGAAATTTATCGTTTTTTGAATACGCTGCTTTTGGCTGGCGGTGCAGCTGCCCCAGACGGTCAAACAGTAACGCAGGTGCGGAAAGACAAAGGCCTCAACTAAAAGACGCCTAGTGCACCTCGGTAATTTGCGCCGCGCCCTAGCCAATCCTACCAGTACACCGTAGCAACGCCTCACTACCGTGCTGATGTGGTCCATCCATTCCAGGTGCGAGTCAATGGTGACACCCAGCACCTTGACGGCTGACGCTGCCAACCGGCGAAACCTTGTCATTGCCAAATGACACTGAGATGTTTTCATCCAAATTCTGACGCTGTGACTTGAGTGTGACCATTTCGGTTTTTTGCTGGGTTTATTTTAAGACGGTTCTGAGTGAACCATGTAAGTGCTACAGAAAGGGTGTTTTCTATGCGAGATTTTAGAGCCTGAATATTGGTTGGTTGGTCGGCATCGAGGAACTGGGTGTCGTCTGCGTACATTATGAGTTTTCCGTTGGATATGTGTTGGGGGAGTGGATGGTCCATGTGGATGGTCCGAGGATGGATCACGCCGTGCGTCACGTCCAGCGCCTCGGTACCACCTCGCACAGTTTGAGTACGTCCGCGCAGCCACGCAGAAAACCAGCCGGGCTCGATCCCGCTAGATGCTTTCTAATCAACCCAAACCAAACCAAACCAAATCAAACCTGACCTAACCTAACCTACAACCGACAACCGACAACCTACCACCTAAAACCTAAAACCTAAAACCTAACCTACAGCGCCTCTCCTTTGTTGCTAAAAAGAAGTGTGATGCCTGCTTTACTAGGTACTACCGAAATACATACATACATGGGTGCATACTCAGGGGTTTCACAGTCGCTGGTGAGGGTCCTCACAAGCGCCGTTGTGGGGCTCTCAAACATTAGTAACCCGCGCCCCGTAGGGGGGGGGGGGCGAAACGGCCTCCCCCTGTCCTTTTCCGTCGATATATCCTAAACGGCTGCAGATATCGCCACCAAACTTTCAGGACCCCTCCGGGCATCAATTTTACACATTGTGACCAGAAGTTGTTCCAGAGGCTATGATAGGTTAGCCACAAATGACGTTAGAATGACGTCATTTTCTGTCATTTTCGACCGAAAAAAGACCTTCGCGAGAAGACCTGTCAGGCCTACAGCTTTGAAGATACAGAAAATGATCAAGACATAAAAGATGTAGAATTGACAAGGCTACAAAACTGCAATCTCAGATTTTTTTAAAAATTGAGTTTTGACCCCCAAAAATAAAAAAAACACTTTTTTGGATATATTAGCCAAAAAATCCCAAAAGTTTTTTGAGCTTAAAAAAAACAGAATATATGTGATAGTAACTACCGTCTTCTATCTACATACCACATTTCAGATCGATACCTCGCTTTTTGGCCAAGTTATAGCGAAAAAACTGCTTAAAAATGATGACGTCAAATTTTCAAACTCATTTTTTGGCAATTCTAGACCTCGTAGGGCAAAACAAAAACCACCATTGGACTTCCCGTGACGAGCTGCATCGAATCGATACTCATTTTATGCAAAAATATCAACTTCGAAATTTGACCTAATTTGACCTGATCTTGACCTGACCTTGACCAAAACGTGACCTAGGTTGGCCCCAAAGGCTGCCTAACCCACATAATCGCATTTTTCATGTAAAATGGACCATAAAACACGCATCACACGACACTTTCATATTGTGACCCCCGGTGACCTGACCTCGCTGTGGCCTGGCCTGGTATCAGTGACCTCAGATAGCAAGGTATGTGTTGGACGAACAATTTACTATCGATGGTTTTCAATAAATTACCAATTTACTCGATTTCACAACACATTTCTTTAAATGCCTGTGAACGGTGAAAATCCGACCTTTGACCTGACCTGTGACGTCATCGGTTTGACCTAGGTCAATGAAATTTGGTCACAAGGTAGTTCCCCGCTGGGGCTATCGAACGCCGTTTGAATTTTGAAAATCGGCCGGTAAATTTCTGAGATCTCAGGGGGGCGAAACGCCCCCCCCCCCTACGGGTGGTAGGGTCCGCCGATAGCCCTACGGGGCGCGGGTTAAGGGCCATCACATGCGTATGTGGGGCCTATAGAGCTGCTGTTGCAGACCATTCATATGCCAACAAGGTAGGCGGTGCCTCCAGGAACTCTGTAAGGTCCTTAGATACCGGCATGGTACTCTTAGAACCCGCTGAGACCTTGAGAGTCACAAGCGTGGGGCCCTCAGAATTGCTGATGTAGCCTGTAGGGCCTCTTGAGAGGCGCTGGTGTACGCCTTCAGAGTTGGGTGTGTGGGCCATGGGACTCTCAGAGACGTTGGTGTGGGCGTTTAGAGACGCCGGGGGGCCATCACAGGCGGGTGTGGGGTCCTTAGAGCTGCTAGTCCCTGATTGGCCGGTAAGGGACCCTGGCGCAGAGACCGGCAAGGGGCCCTTAGAAGCCGGCGTGGGTCTTTTTTTTAGATTAGCTTGGCGTAGCCCATGAGGTGCTCTTGCAAGCCCTGTGGGGGGGGGAGGCCCTTCTGAGTTGAAATATGGCCAGCGTGGACCCTCAGCGGCCAACTTGGGTCGCAGGGCACCTCGGGCCCAGGGTCCCCTGAACTTGAAGGGGGGAACCCTGGCGCCCCTGGCTACGCCACTGCACCCGCTTTCACATGAAGGCACACCTCTTTCGCACCCCATTCCCCATATAGGCGATGGCGCCCCCTCGAAGGATGGCGCCCCGCTTGAAGCATGGCGCCCCCTATGAGTTTGTCCACACCATTTTTTTCTAGCGTGATTACGCCCCTGAGCAAAACGGGTACAAACTGAACCTGAGAAACTCGAACGTCGCCTTATTTTAACACGCGAATTATTCCCGATAAATTCCATACCTGCGTTTTGGAACTAGACATCAGGACAGTGGTGACGTCATGCTGTGGAACTTGCATTGCAATTTAATGCATGTCTGTCATGGAAAGAACCGCTTCTCGATTCGGACTTCAGTAAGAGTGAAAAGCAAAGAGGTTTTCTCAAAATTCGTTTCTTCTTAAAATTCGTACTCCTACTTATCAAGGGAGTCATTTCGCTCAGGGCCGAAATGCTCCAGAATCCAACCACCGATTCAAATTGTCGCGCTATCCACGCACTGCAGTATAAACTAACATTGCCGAAAATGCGTCTATGGTTTCGGAAAACCAATGCTTTTGATGGAGGCAGAAAGTTTCTTGGCTGTCAAACATCATAACAAAATCGTCGAAAGCAAATAAATGCCAGCTAAACACAAACACACAATCTCGTATCACCTTCTCTTTCCAGGGCCAGACGTAAAAGAAAGTTGACTGCGTCTTGTCAGAAAATGGCCCGCTTATCGCGTTGCTAAGCAACCAAAACAGCTAGTGCGTACTCTGGCATACCCCGTACTTTTATCCGATGATACCCTATGCTCCGATAAACAAGTTATCAAACAGATACACACACTGGCTCCATCTGGGGCCACGCCCTCGCGTCTGGTTGGGTGTGGGTGCCGTGTGCCATGTGTGTAAAACCTGTCCGGTGAACTCGCAGTATAAAGCCGGTCCCGGGGTCAGTGTCGACATCAGTCAGCTTCTGTGGCCGCCCCTGACAGCCCACTATCTGTTCCAACATGCGTGTCGCTATCCTGGCAGCTCTGGTGGCCGCGGCCGCGGCCGCCCCCGGCCTGGTCGGCCGTGGCGCCGGTCTGGTCGGCTACGGTGCCGGTCTGGTGGGCCACGGCGCTGGCCTCGTTGGCCGCGGCGTGGTCGGCCACGCCGCCATCGGCGGTCTCGGCTACGGCCACCTGGGCGTCGGCAAGGCTGTGGCTGCCGTGCGCCCCGCGCCTATCGTGCACGGCGTTCATAAGGCCGTCGCCGTCGACTACGCCGAGCCGCGGCCGTACCACTACCAGTACGCCGTCGACGACCCTCACTACGGACCCATGTTCAACAAGCAGGAGGAAGCTGACGGTGCCGGTAACGTTGTGGGCTCGTACGCCGTCAACCTGCCCGACGGCCGCACCCAGATCGTCAAGTACGTCGCCGACCACTACAACGGCTTCAACGCCGAGGTCAGCTACGAGGGCTACGCCCAGCACCCGCAGGTGGCTCGCGGCTACGGCTACGGCGGTGTCGGTGTCGGCGTGGGCCTGGGCCACGGAGCCGTGCACGCCGTGGCGCCCGTCGTCAAGCCCGTCATCAAGACGGCCGGTCTGCTGCACTGAACGCAGCCGATGGCAGTCGGCGGCAGCGCCAGCAGCTTTAATGTACGCATGTGTGAATGGTGTGTCTGAGTGCACGAGGGCAGGCCCCCCTGCTCTCAAGTGGTCCGTTGTCAAGTGTGTGCCCTACGTGTGCTTATTTATTTGTGAGCCGCGGTCTTGCATACTGTGTGTAATATACAATATTTTTCATGTTATTTTTATTTGTGTATAACGTGATGACAAATAGGTCCACAAACGCAAGGATGCGGACTAGACGGGGATCCAGGTAACCCGCTCCGCCCCGCAACCCTTCACCACATACCCACAACTACCCGCATGCATGGGGAACTTCAGTGGTGGCAGTCCACAAAAACTCACATAGCAGTCAAAACCTTTTCCATTTTCTAACCATATTTTTCCAGGACATCTTACTGCATATGTGAAGTATTCTAAGCCATGCTCCAGCATATTCATTTTCCATTTTAAAGGGTAAATTTTGTTTTGTTTCAGTTAAGAAGTTTCTGATATGTTTGCTACCCGCATAACACGCGCACCGACGGGGGGGGCGGATATCCGCCCCCCCCCCCCTGAGGTTTTTCGCAAATAGCGGGAAAACCGCGGCGCTACCGCGAAATTTGGTACGACTATTCCCTAATCAATTTTACACATGGTGTGCAAGTTTGAACCTCCTACCTTTTAAGGTCAGGTCACCAGGTCACTTTGAATGACCCAACCTCAAGTCACTTTTTTGCAACTTTGTCACCGTGCCAGAGCTGCAGTAGATGTCGGAGGCCTTTGAAAGTCGCAGGATGTTATATAGGTCATAAGTAGCTACAATTTGTATATCTCGGAATTTTTATGTCGGTGACCTAAGGTCAGGTCAATTTCGCGACCTCCCCATTATAAGTCAATGGGGAAAAAAATCAACTCCCTGTTTTTACCACTAAAACGGGTCGGAATGCGGGAATGGCCCCATATACCATACATGACTTCATATACGATCAACCTTCACTACCTTGAGGTCTGTTTTGCTGTTGGGCAGCTATAAAGTCGTGTGACGTCAGGAACAAGATACAGCCGCGTGGATGGTCTCATTGTGTTCAGCTCGTCAAGACGCATCGAATGAAATACATGATGACCTCGAGGTCACGTGACCTGAGGTCAATCTTTGACCTTGACCTTTCGAGGTCAACATATATGTCATTCGATGCGGATTGACGAGAGGATCACGATGATCCCCTTAGTTTGTTCCTATCTTGACTAATTCGAAAGTTATTCGAGAAAAACTCTCTCCATATCTAGCGCCGCCATTTTGACTTGTTTGACCCCTGTGACGTCATCTTTGACCTGACCTGAAAATGACCTTCGTAAAAATTGTAGATCTTGACCGTGCGTATCCGATGCCGTTTACCGCTTGTCGCTATCTTGCTTCGTTCTCAGGGGGGGCGGTCATCCGCCCCCCCCCCCCCCGTCGGTGCGAAGTTGGCGAAGATAAAACGCGGGATCTGCGCGCGGATAAAACCCACACCAAGGTATTTCCTGGTGATGCAGCCCCCTTAACCCTATTAGTGGCAGGCTCCTGGCTACCCCCTATTAGTGGCAAGGGGGGGGCTGTTTACGACCCCCCCCCTTGATATCTCGAGTTCTAACGGGCCGATTTTCAAAATTCAAACGGCATTCGATTTCGCTCAACGAGATCTACATTTCTAAAAAAAAAAAAAAATTGAAAAATGTCAATAGGGGGTAGAGGGGGGTAAAAACGTGCAAATTGCAGATACATTTTAGACTGTTTATCACGGCCAGGTTTCTGAACCAATCTTAACGCAACTTTTGCCGATCGATAGAGAATGAACCAGGAATTCACATGGATCCTAAAAATATGCATTTTCAAAAATCATAGGCGGATACAGATCATTGAGATTGGGGGTACACAAAAAGTATAGTAAATAAGGTTTTTGTTGGTACTGTTTCTAAAAAGGGTGGCAATGGTCTTGTTATGTTACAATTTTCTTATGAGAGAACGACTAAAATTGTATTGGTCATGCATAGGCGGTGCCAGGGCACCTATGTTGGGATGTAAAAAATAACCTAGAGCACTTCATGGGCCGGATAAATCCGTTATCCACGGATAAATCCGCGGACCGGATAGGATTGGATTCTAAATTTGTTAAAAAAGAACGGATATGGGCGGGCCGGATTTGGGAATTGAAGGTTGAACCCGGATCAAAACGGATCAAAATTTTAATGTAAATAGAGTGAATAACCTTATGCTCATGTTATATGTTGCAAATTGATATAATTAAAACTAAATTGATATATTTCGATATTGCACCGTCATCAGAATAAGAATTCTGTTTCTTATTCTGATGACGGTGCAATATCGAAATATATCAATTTTGTTTTAATTATATCAATTTGCAACATATAACATGAGCATAAGGTTATTCACTCTATTTACATTATTAATCATGCTCAGAAATACCATAGCTTACCTCCAAGAAGTCAAAATTTTAACATTCAACATTGAAGTTAAAAATTAGCCTAATGTGTTAAGCGGCAGCAGAGGTTTGATTAAAGTAATAGGCATCATTTTATGACACTCACTTGTCACAAGACTTGTATGGCTGTCTGGTCCCTTAGATTGAATTTGTTAGTCCAGTTTTGGGTGAAACCAGTTATTGGTGAAACGGATTATTACGGATATTTTTTGGAAGTTTGGCTGCAATACGGGCCATGGGTGGGCCGGATTCTGATATTCAAAGAAAGGCGGATAATGGGCGGATCTGGATATCACTTGCCGGATATGGGCCGGGCCGGATCCTAAAAAGCCTATCCGTGAAGTGCTCTAAAATAACCCCCCCTTTTTGGACGCCTGGATCCGCCTATTATAGCAAAAACGTGTCAAAAGAGGATGCACAATAACTTTGTATATGTTATCACATGATACCTTTCATTCACTGTTCGTAAAACTGGTGCAGCGTCGTGATCTTCGCCCAAATGACTCGCTTCACGAATAGGACCCCCCAATTTCCAGTGCTCTGGAGCCGCCCCTGGTAATGTTATGAACTTGAAATTTTCAGGGAATGTGCCCAATTTAGTTTTAGGAAAAGTCAGAAAATTTCAGCATCGTAGCTTTAGCGGTTTCGGAGATATTCCCGAAAAACCTGAGGGGTGGATAAAAACAACCCCCCTGCCACTAATAGGGTTAAACCCATGCGGGTTTTGTTTATCCGCTCATTACGGGCTGGCGGGTCGAAAAAGGGCACCTCTAATGCGGACACATCAACAAAGTGGAAAATGGGTGTTAAACACTAATGAGGCACCCTGAAGAGCCCACTTTTAACCCGCGTCGTGCTGGCGAGGGGGGGGGCGTTTTTCATGCCGTCTCGTCAGAGCGCCACCGTCTTTGGCACACTTACATCATCATTTCTGCACATCTTTTCTGCACAAGTTTAAAAAGTTTCAGACCCGAGTCGTTAAATCTCAGGTCACCAGATCACGTCGTGACCTTACCTTAGAAAAAGTTACAATGCTTGTCATAGCTTGACCGACCGAATGATTTCTTTGAACTTACATACAGCGATTGGTAAGGCTAACAATATGTGTAAAGTGTTTATCTCGCAATTTTAATATGTGTGACCGAATTGGGTCAAATTGGCGACCTCTCCATTATAAGTCAATGGGATAAAGTTGTAATGCATCTCTTTTTGACAAACGTCGCTCTAAATGCTTTCAAACATTGATTTACAGGTACACATGTCGAGCTGAATTGGAAAATTGCACCTGTGGCCACTCGTTTAACCCCTGGCGTCATATTAGGTTATGAAAGGTTCTCAGCAGTTTTTTTTGCAATAGCTTTTGATAGACATACTAGAGCGATAGAAGTACCACTGAATGTTCAGTTCGACGATACGGATCTGCTGAAAGGTAGTTATTATGACCTTTTCTAGTCAGGTCACGACCTTGATCTGAGGTCCAATTTTCAAAATAACGTTCTTAGGTCAAATATACGAGTAGTTCATTCGACGTGTCTCGACGACAGAAGCAAGATGCTGGTAAAATAAATATGGCATAGGCGCGGGAGCCGGAGGCAGTGGGGGCAGCTTGCCTCCCCCCCCCCAACTCTGGGGCCGTGGGGGCGGTGCCCGGCCCACAGCTTTGAGACGGAATACCACTTTTTTGCAAATGCTTTCTTTTTTGTTGAAAAAGCCAAGGGATGAAAAATAAGTGGCATAAAACCGGTGAGAAAACTAGATTTGGGGACCCTAGGTTGATCTCTATTATGGTGTGCCCCCCCCCCCCCCCAATCTGAAAGTAGTTCCCGCGCCTTTGAAATATGGTGCCTTCCTTCGTCCTTTTTTTCGTTGGCCTTCATCATTGACGTCGAGGACAACAAAATTAAGGTTCACCCGGCAGTCTTTCTGTGGCCAGCATACACTGCTTCAATTTTGAAAAAAAAATGAAACCAGTAAAAACCAGTAGCTTCGAAGATAGGAAGAAGGGGCTCTGTACCCCTGCCCTCCCCCCCACACACACACATGTTGACTCTCGTAATGGGGTCCGTATGCTACACTTTGCGTGGCTTAACCATGGATGACATAATAATGGATTGGTGTCTTCGCAGTTTTTGGCGACATTGAGCTCTGGCCTGCCATCTAGCGGGGGTATTATCGTAAGTTAGGAGCAAACCGAGTGAACGCCGTTGCTTAGCATTGTGACACACGAGAGTGTGGTGTAGTAGGAGGCTTGTTGTGCAATTTTTCAAAAGGTTATGTCGTTATGTGTCAGTAAAAGCGAAGAAATTAACCCTCCAGGCGGTGGGGGAGGGGCATTTTTTGCCCCCTTCCCTTAAGTGTTTCGATATATCTCCAGAACCGCTGCGCCAATCGCCACCAAACTTTCAGTACCCTCCCATGAGTAGCTATTACACATTGTGACCAATTTTTTTCTAAAGGCTATGATACGTTGGCCGCTAATGACGTCAGAGTGACGTCATTTCTGCCATTTTCGACCCAAAAAAGGTTTCGCGGGAAGAGCTGTCAGGCCTACAGCTTAGTGATACAGAAAAATGTTAAATGCGTAAAAGGTGTAGAATGTAAAAGGACTACATGTGTTAGTCCTTACCACCTTCTATCCACATATCAAATTTGAGATCGATACCTCTTTTTTCGCCAAGTTATAGCGAAAAAAAACTGTTCAAAATTAATGATGTTAAGTTTTCCAACTCAATTTATAGCGATTTTAGACCTCGTAATGCAAAACAAAGGCCACCATTAGACTCCCCGTGACGAGCTGCATCGAATCAATACCCATTTTATGCAAAACTATCAACTTTGAATTTTAACCTTTTTTGCCTGACCTTGACCTGACCTCCACCAGAACGTGACCTGAACTGTACCTGATGGTCTTATAATCAACACCGTTGAGTTGGAAATGAAAAAAATGACCATAAACCATGCATCGCACAACCCTAGTAAAGCTGGGTTCATGTGCTGACCCTTGGTGACCTGACCTGTGACCTGACCTGGTATTATCAGTGACCTCCAATAGCAACATTTGTACTAATCAACTTACGCCGTATCGCTGATTTTCGACAAAATGTGTTTTACTCGATGTCATTGCTTATTCCCTAGAAGACCCATGAACGGCGAAACATTTTATCTTTGACCTGACCTGTGACGTCATCGGTGACCCCGAGGTAAATGAAATTGGAGTTACCTGGACAATGTGACTAGATAAGTGAAACTTTTTTAAATATAAAGGTACTGTATTATAGAAAGCCTTCGCAAACGCGTTTCGAATATATCATCTTCAGTGCTAGCTTCTGACTATACTGACTGACTATACTGACTTACTGACTTTAACTGAGACTGAGCTATACTGACTTTAACCATTGATGATGGTTAGGCTACCACGAAGCCGAGTCGATACATAGAACTTTCATTGATGATCGTTTTTTTTCTTTTTGTATTATGGGAAGCTAGCACTGAAGATGATATATTCGAAACGCGTTTGCGAAGGCTTTCTATAATACGGTACCTTTATATTTAAAAAAGTTTCACTTATCTAGTCATATATGTCACAATGAACGTTCAACATTACCTGGACAAATTTGACAGGGCTATCGAACGCCGTTTAAATTTTACGGATTCGTCCAGTAGTTTCGGAGATACACGAGGGAGGGGGGACAATAAATGCCCCCCCCCCCACGCGCGGATGGTCGCCGGGAGAAAACCGTCTGCCGGGTTAACGAAAAAAGTTGACCAAAGTTGAACGGAACTACAGTGCTGAAAGTTTGACGTAGATAGCTTTGAGCGCTTATATATTGGCGAAACAAGGCAGGTTAGAGATTCTGTCCCTCCGCGGGGCCATGCTAAGAGCTGACTTGAATCAAAGGCTAGGCATGTCAATCTCTGTATTTTAAACATATTTCGACCCATCCCGTGAACTAATCGGGGTGATTCAACAGCACACCGTTTTTACTTGGGAAGACTGGTTTCTTTCATGCCTGCATCAAGAAATTTGTGGCTCAGCGACCAAGAACCAGATACTGGAACCCATGTCTCGTTGCTCAAACCCACCCATGTCTCGTTGCAAAAACGCAATCCTTTGGATGCAGCAAATCAGAAAGGCGGTGGATATCAGCCGAAGCCAAGCGGCCCAATTGTAATTACCCTCTACACAAAAACTAATGGAATGAAACAATATTTTATATTACATGCTGTATGCAAAACACAGGACTCACAAATAAATAAGCACACGTAGGGCACACACTTGACAACGGACCACTTGAGAGCATGGGGGCCTGCCCTCGTGCACTCAGACACACCATTCACACATGCGTACATTAAAGCTGCTGGCGCTGCCGCCGACTGCCATCGGCTGCGTTCAGTGCAGCAGACCGGCCGTCTTGATGACGGGCTTGACGACGGGCGCCACGGCGTGCACGGCTCCGTGGCCCAGGCCCACGCCGACACCGACACCACCGTAGCCGTAGCCGCGAGCCACCTGCGGGTGCTGGGCGTAGCCCTCGTAGCTGACTTCGGCGTTGAAGCCGTTGTAGTGGTCGGCGACGTACTTGACGATCTGGGTGCGGCCGTCGGGCAGGTTGACGGCGTACGAGCCCACAACGTTACCGGCACCGTCGGCCTCCTCGTGCTTGTTGAACATGGGTCCGTAGTGAGGGTCGTCGACGGCGTACTGGTAGTGGTACGGCCGCGGCTCGGCGTAGTCGACGGCGACGGCCTTATGAACGCCGTGCACGATAGGCGCGGGGCGCACGGCAGCCACAGCCTTGCCGACGCCCAGGTGGCCGTAGCCGAGACCGCCGATGGCGGCGTGGCCGACCACGCCGTGGCCAACGAGGCCACCGCCGTGGCCCACCAGACCGGCACCGTAGCCGACCAGACCGGCGCCACGGCCGACCAGGCCGGGGGCGGCCGCGGCCGCGGCCACCAGAGCTGCCAGGATAGCGACACGCATGTTGGAACAGATAGTGGGCTGTCAGGGGCGGCCACAGAAGCTGACTGATGTCGACACTGACCCCGGGACCGGCTTTATACTGCGAGTTCACCGGACAGGTTTTACACACATGGCACACGGCACCCACACCCAACCAGACGCGAGGGCGTGGCCCCAGATGGAGCCAGTGTAGGTATGTACTAACTGTTTGATAAATTGTTTATGGAACATACAAAAACATGTATGCCTGCGTAAATGTCACCATGTAGGCACAGGAACCCATGCACAATCCTGAACCTTACCATGTAACCACAATCCTTACCATCCTTACCCCGGCGGGCGCTGGGCCTCCGCGCCACCCGCCGGCCGCTGGGGGGGGGGGGGGCATATAGTTCCCGCTTTACTTCTGTTCTGCGACGATATCGTCGCAACGCGAAGAGATAGAGATGGAAAGTTTGAACACGTCTTCCTGAATACCTAGCCGAGGTTGTGTCCAAATTTGGTGTCGATCCCTTTTGAAATGACGTCATAGGGACGTTAGAAGTCAAATTATAGATATGCAACCCTCAGTTTTCTCATCATACATCCCATATATGAGACCGAATATAAAGGACCGATTATTGATCCAAAAATAGTTCAAAGTATCCTTAGATGTTTTAGGATGCCAGCAGGTGCTGTCTAGTTCATTTACAGTTGACTTTTATGCTCAGCGACATCAAAAACGGTTCATAAAGAAAACGTCAAAACTTTATGACGTCACTGTGACGTCATCTTAACCCGTCCGGGCCCGGGGAGGGGGTAATCCCAACCACCGCAGCCCGAGAGGCGTGTTTCGCCCCCCCCCCCCTGTCTAACTCTGTAAATAATAGAGCTACGCAAACAAAAGCGATACCAAACGAAAGGTCCTTACGAGACAATTCTAAAACACCCAAATTTGTTGACCTTAGGTTAATTTTCAAGGTCAGAGGTTAAGGTTAAAGGGAAAGCCGGCACATGTGTATTGATCTCAAAGTAAGCGTTCTAGAGGACGGCAGGATGCATAAAACCGGCAAAATTGGCCGTCAAACGAAAGAAGAGAATCTGAGGATTCCGAAAATATGCTCAAAATTAGAGATCAAGGTCTCAAAATTGACCTCAAACTTTGCACTTTTTCGTACATCCTGCGTACTAACTTCCAAGATGTTTTGATATGTTTTGAGGCTTATCAGGTCCCTATTTGTGGTTCATCTTACGATACAAGGCAGCTCAAAGGTAAAGGTCACAGAAGAGTATCCTTGCTAGAGGCTATTTCACTGATTCAAGTTAGACTTATAAATAACATGTCTTATTAAAAATGACCGCATTTCGACTGTTCACCAGCTTCTTTTGTACCCTTTCCATTGCTCGTAGAAGTCGTTTATCGCCATCGTTAAGTTTCGTTAAAATCTCGCCAAGTAGTCATTAATCGCAGCCGGTTTAATCATTATTTCCATGACATTTTCAAGCGACATTCGTACATTTCAGTCCTAATTCCCTGCATTTCAGTATAATCATCGACAAATCAAAAGCGAGCAAATACAGCTGCCACAAGAATTGAGTATATAAAGCGTGCTCAATCGCATAGAGCTCCTACAGTACAATGATGTGAAAATAAATAAATGTAACATCAATGACAAGTGACACGCAAATGACAAGAATGGCTGGAGAGCAAGGCCATTCATATATGTAGATCATGAAGAGTAATTATGCCTTCATGCCTTATAAATAACACTAAATAAATAACACTGTATTATAACAATAAATAGACACTGATAAATAAGACAATTTGCCATCCGGAGGCTCTAAATGAAGGCTAAGAGGAAAATACATAGATGCCAGATTCGTGATCGGCGGGTACGAATCCATCATAACCAGTATAGCGCCTTTTGGGGCGACTAACGGAGCGAGCGAGAGGGTGAGCCTTGCACGTGCGAAATTTCGAGGGATACCTCCCTCGAACTGACTTGTGCACGGCACCCTACTAACCGGTCTCTAGCGATGTGCCAAATTTGAGCACAATCGGCCCAGCCGTTCTCGAGATCTGGGAGCGGCACCGCACGTGCGCACGTGCAGAATGGGTCCCAACTGACTTGTGCACGGCACAAGTACCAAATTTGAGCGCCATCGGTCCAGCCGTTCTCGAGATCTGGAAACGCCCCCTGCACGTGCGCACGTGCAGCAGCACCCCAACTCTGGCACATGGATATGCAGTGCCTAGTGGGTGCCTACCTACATGCCAACTTTCAGCGCAATCGGCCAAGTAGTTACCGAGATATTGCAACAATTACAAAACTGACACCTCTTCGTTTTGCGCGTGGCACGTGCATAAGGGGTCACCTATATGCATCGGGAATAGTCCAATACTTGGTAGAAGGAAAGAAGCTACCCTACAAAAATTACCCCGTGTAAATCGGTCAAGTGGTTGCTGAGATATAAGCCTCGCAAAAGCGTCCGCACGGCCGGCCGGCCGGCCGGCCGCTCATACTCAGAAATTTCCGTTATTCTACGTAAGACTCCGCTCGCTTCGCTCGCTCCGTAACCAACCTTTCATGTGTCAAGGTCAACCAAAGGTTATTCGAGGTCACATGAGGTCAACATAAAAACTTACTTTTTCCAAACAAAACATATGTTACCTATTCGACGCGGCTTGACAAGCCGAATGTGATGGTACCACTGCCGTAGCTCTAGGACCATTTTTGTCGAAGTTATTTGCGAGAAACTAAAACCATAGCTCGGGGTCGTTGACCAGACCTCTGACCTCAGGTCACCAAAACTATTTTTCTTTTTTTCTCTAAGTCACACGCTACATAACCTGCTCGTAATTTATCTTTATCTCTAAAACTCATTTCTTAGCAGCTATTTGAATTTCACGTCTTTGACGCCGAGGTTTGCCGTGCAGGGGTCTAGAAAAATCGACTATGTCCGATCGGCCCCTCCGGGCCCGCGAGGGTTAAGAGGTAAAACCACAAAACAACTTGGCGCGGACGTATACTCATCATATAGCTAAGGTCGCGGACCGATTCGGGATCTTTCTTCTACGGTCTTGGCATTTCGCAGACCAGTCGGTGTCCACCGCGCGACTTTTACGGTTCGTCACGACCGTCACGAATATTTCATGAAAAATGAAAATTTCGTGGCCGTTCGCCGAACTTATAATAAACGAACATGATCGCCAAACAGTCGCCGAGTCGCCGCCGACATGTCGCTGCGTGCGCCTCGCGCGAGAGCTGACCTGGGGCGCCGCGCCGGTCACGTGATCGGTGGTGACTTGGGCCCGGCGGTGCCCGGACAAGGTCATGAGGCGATCGGGAGGCGGGAGGAGCGGTGTTTGGTATTTCGAAGCGGCCATGTCTGCCAGTCCCAATTCGTGCTATTACTGAACGGTTTCTCGCTTGTAGGAGTTGGGGAGGTGCAGACTGTTTTTTCGCCGTCTATAGAGTTCGCTCAAAGTCCACTAAGCGGGGTGCTGGCTGCTACCCTCCCCCAGTTGCGATGTTGGGAGGACGGTTATCCTTATCAGGTGGGGCCCAACTCCACAGCCGCATGGTCGTCTCCAGAAATGAAGGGGAGAGAGTGCGCTGTCGTTTCCAGACGCGGGCCGCGGTGATAAGCCAGATAACAATCCCGCGGAACTCGGTGGTGGGTGAGAAATGGCGACCGGGGGGGGGGGGGGGCGCCCACCATGCAGCGCTGTGACACTGTCGCCGGGGTGCGGCGTCCCGCTTCCGACACACCGGGGCCGCTGAGGGCGCTCCTCAGACCGGACGGTCGGGGAGGGCCACAGGTCGGGGCGCAGGCCACTGGTGTGTGACTGATGCACAGGGTTCAGTAGGGCACATCTGGCGGGTCCGGGGTAACAGCCCACCGGCCCGGTAGAAAGGGACGCTAGGTCTGGTCATGTCCCCTGTCTGCCCCGGTCCCCGGTCCCCGGTCTGTTCAGGTCTGCTCCGCTCTCCTGTCTCCGGTCCGCTCCGGTCCGGCTCCCAGTCCCCAGTCCCCAGTCCTCAGTCCCCAGTCCCCGGTCTCCGGCCCCCGGCCCCCGGCCCCCGACTCCCAGTCTTCAGTCCCCAGTCCCCAGTCCCCGGCTCCCAGTCTTCAGTCCCCAGTCCCGGCCTCCGGTCCTCCCCGACTCCCAGTCCCCAGTCCCCAGTCCTCAGTCCCCAGTCCCCGGCTCCCAGTCTTCAGTCCCCAGTCCCCGGCTCCCAGTCTTTAGTCCCCAGTCCCCGGCTCCCAGTCTTCAGTCCCCGGCCCCCGGCTCCCAGTCTTCAGTCCCCAGTCCCCGGCCTCCGGTCCTCCCCGACTCCCAGTCCCCAGTCCTCAGTCCCCAGTCCCGGCCTCCGGTCCTCCCCGACTTCCAGTCCCCAGTCCTCAGTCCCCAGTCCCCGGCCCTCGGCTCCCAGTCCTCAGTCCTCAGTCCCCGGCCTCCGGTCCTCCCCGACTCCCAGTCCCCAGTCCTCAGTCCACAGTCCTCAGTCCCCAGTCTTCAGTCCCCAGTTCCCGGCTCCCAGTCTTCAGTCCCAGTCCCCGGCCTCCAATCCTCCCAGACTCCCAGTCCCCAGTCCCCGGCTCCCAGTCTTCAGTCCCCAGTCCCCGGCCTCCGGTCCTCCCCGACTCCCAGTCCCCAGTCCTCAGTCCCCAGTCCCCGGCCCTCGGCTCCCAGTCTTCTGTCCCCAGTCCCCGGCCTCCGGTCCTCCCCGACTCCCAGTCCCCAGTCCTCAGTCCCCGGCCTCCTAACTTAACCCGGCAGTTGCTGGGGTATTTCGCCACCCACCGTTTGCTGGGGGGGGGGGCGTTAAACGCCCCCAGCCGATAACTCGAGAACCAATAGGCGCAGCGAAACGCACGGGCCGGCAAACGAAAGAACGCGACGAGACGCTTCAGATGAGTACTTTAAAGTTGAATTTTGAGGTCACAGGTCGGGTCAAGGTCAGGTCAAACACCTGAAATCGGGTTTCAGTAGCATGGACTTCAGGACTTCGCAATGGGCGCCTCTCGTTATAAAC